TAAAGAATATTTTTTCAAGACTTAAAGAGCTTTAAACGTGGATTTTTAAAGAATATTTTTTCAAGACTTAAAGAGCTTTAAACGTGGATTTTTAAAGAATATTTTTCAATGACCAAAAGATCTATAAACGTGGATTTTTAAAGAATATTTTTTCAAGACTTAAAGAGCTTCAAACGTGGATTTTTAAAGAATATTTTTTCAATGACCAAAAGATCTATAAACGTGGATTTTTAAAGAATATTTTTTCAAGACTTAAAGAGCTTTAAACGTGGATTTTTAAAGAATATTTTTTCAATGACCAAAAGATCTATAAACGTGGATTTTTAAAGAATATTTTTTCAAGACTTAAAGAGCTTTAAACGTGGATTTTTAAAGAATATTTTTTCAATGACCAAAAGATCTATAAACGTGGATTTTTAAAGAATATTTTTTCAAGACTTAAAGAGCTTTAAACGTGGATTTTTAAAGAATATTTTTTCAAGACTTAAAGAGCTTTAAACGTGGATTTTTAAAGAATATTTTTTCAATGACCAAAAGATCTATAAACGTGGATTTTTAAAGAATATTTTTTCAAGCACCAACAGAGCTTTCAACGTGGATTTTTAAAGAATATTTTGTCAAGGACCAACAGAGCTTTCAACGTGGATTATTAAAGAATATTTTTTGAAGGACCAACAAAGCTATAAGCGTGTATTTTAAATATTAAGTTTTTCAAGGACCAGCAGAGCTATAAACGTGAATTTTTCAAGGACTATGATTTTTGAGAGCTTTTTTGCAAGGTCTTATTTATTTTCGAACACATTGGAATAATTAAAACACCGACTATAGCGCAATGCCTATCATTTATCTGACCATAACACCCAAAACATGTAAGCATTAATGGTTAATTGAATATTGTTTGAATACAAAAACACCACGAAACAAAATGTTCAACAAAAAGCCCTATCATAGATCATTGATCGATAGCAGTAATAAAAACATAAATAACAACTACAACAAAAGATCATAAATTCAATTCTTGTTACCGGCAATAAAAAATTCAACAGAAAAAAACATCAAAGCCTCAAAAATGTGCCAAGTCATAACTGGCAAAAGGACAGATTCATATTCATTACTTTCAGCTTAAGAAGATAAGTGGACCCGAGGAGAATAGAGGCGAGCGGAGCGAGCCAAAGATATAAATATTTCCTATGAATACTCATGGCAGACAGACAGGCGTTTATGAAAGTGTTTCGTTTCATTTTTTCGTTTTTCATCTTCTGTTATTCTGACTTAAGTGCAAAAAACATTTGAAGCCATCCAGGCCGATAAAGGAACGAAAACAGCCCCAAGAATGAGATCTTTTAAAGTGTTAAGAAATCAATTAAAAACAACATTTCTTTTTAACTCTTTTCAATGGCCCTTTTGTTGAAGTTGAAATTGAAATTATAAAAGCCAGCCGCTCATAGGCAAAATGCAGGCATGCGTTGACGCTTGTGTTTCGAATGATGAAGATGACGATGGTGATAACGACACACACACACACATTAAAGACAATGACGCGGGTTTGGTGTCGGTTTTTTTGTTTATCTATGTCATGTAAATGATTCTTAAGTGAGTTTCGAAAAAGTATTCGTGAATAGACAAATTATTTAAGAATGTTATGAGACAAAGTTTATGTTAAATTAGACGGAGGCTTTTGTTCCTCTAGTACCAAATAACGTTGATGTACAAGGTAAGATGAAAAAACTGCAACCAACTTCAGACTGCTGTCATTTCGCAGTGGCCGAAAAATGGCTCGTGTGCTGAACATATCACAATATGCAAGAACTTACACTGCAACAGAAAGAAAATAGACTCAAAAAAGCTAAAGAGTTGCTTCGCTTGGCCGAAAGTGGTGAACTGCCGAATTTGGTTTTCTCGGATGAGAAATCATTCGTTGTCCTGCAGTTTGTAAAAAAATAAAATTATCGTGTTTATGGTGATGGTGTGGACCGTCATAACAGCCGATGGTCGCTCTCCGCTCGTATTAATCGACCGTGGCATCAGAATAAATGCCAAATATTATCGCGAAAATATTCTGGAGGTCGTATTAATGCCTTGTGCACCCAAACATTTTGCCAGCAGACCTTGGACATTCCAACGGGAATCAGAACGCGCCACCCAAGAGTGGTTACAAAATGAGGTTCCTAGCTTCATTTCCAGCGCACAATGACCAACAAAATCTTCGGATACCAATCCGTGGGATTATTGTGTCTGGAGTATTTTGGAAAGCAAGTTTAGCACTAAAAAATACCAAACTGTCGATCACCTCAAGCAAGCGCTGCGCCAGAAATGGTCCGCCGGACAGCAGAGCAACATTCGAGCAGCGTGCGACAATTTCATTGGCCGTTTGAAGTCCATAATTCGTGCCAAAATGACCAATTCGAACAAATCTAAACTTATTCCAAATGATGATGCTATTTCCGACATTTTTACTTTCATTCAATAAAATTTTAAAAAATATATAAAAATTATTGTATTTGACTTTGTTGCAGTTTTTTATCTCACCCTGTATATAGGAGCTATTGCTATATCTGAACCTATTTTCACCAAAATTTAAGTACTTCTTTCTAGGATGAATTCAGTCGCCATTGCTGATATTAGCCATTTAGTGCACAATAAACCTATCTGGTCTTATGCTATAACCAAATCTGGTCTTATCTCGATAAAATATGACAGAGGTATTTTCGAGCAGTATCTGATGTCCGGTACCAAATATCATTTTTCAGGAGCAAATCGGATGAAACATATATATTTGAGCTATAGCTATGTCTGAACCGATTTTCTCTAAATTTAATCTACTTGTTTCCAGACTGAGTTCGAATGGATGTGCCAAAACTCAGGTCATTTGGACTGATATTGGCCATTTGGTGCACAATTAACCCGAAATCGGTTGATCCTATACCTAACTTTGAACCGATTCTCACCACTTTCAACAGGGTTCGTCCTTGGGCCAAAAAAAAAAAAAAATATTTTTTTTTTTTTTTTTGGAAAATGTCATCTCAATCGGATTATAAATATGACCTGCATTTTGTTTAGCTGATATTGGCGGACGGACTGACTGACATTCATAAATCAACTCAGAAAGTGATTGTATGAAGATCCTCAAAACAAACTATGGGTCTAACTCGCTTCCTTCTACCCTTACCACTTTGTGGTATAGGGTATAAAAAGCCTAAAATTAATGCCACCAGCAGAGACATAACAGTTTTGAATTTAAAGTTCTTACTCTATTTCCCTATTATTTAGGATTCTCGCAAGAGCTCGGATGGTCCAGTGAAAAACTATACAATAGAGCTGAGAACATTGACGAAGACGACGTCGCCACCAACGACCGAGATGAGCACGACAAATATAAAAAAAAACGGAAACGAACTGAACTGAGAACTCGAAAACAAAAACACCGGTAGTGACGTCATCAGCATGAGCGAAAGGCAAATATAGGAAATTCCTTTACTTCAAATGTTCTTAGCTTACATTCGCATTGTCTTGGATTATCTCAAAAGCTCGCATGTGCCAAAGAGAAAATACGCAGGAGATCAAACGACTCACGACAAATATAAAAATGGAACAAAATTAACTGAGAACACAAAACAAAAACAAATCTTAGAAGAGTTGTAATCAAATCTTAGAAAATTGTTGGACTCCAACACTACACATATGCACTCTCACGTATTGAGATTCAACACCGGTAGTGACGTAATCAGCAACAAATGAAAACATTTATAAGAATAGAAACAATGATAAAAGAAGATGCAAATATAATTGGACGCTCTAATTCAACACTTTTTTTCGAATTTCACCAACCGAGTTACATTATAAAAAACGTTCGAAAAATAGCTTAACTCGCGAACTCTCAGACTTTACCGACATTTTTGCAATCGTTTGTCACGAAAGAGGAAAACTGATTTGAGAATATTTTTAGAGCTGCCAAGGTCAATATAATAAACTTAAATATCTGGCATATAAAGAAAAAGAATTGCTCAACAGAATTTCAAAACCTCAGAGTACCGATTACTGGGGAAATTCGACCATAGAAGCGCTTACCCATTTCCCTATACGATTTTTGACAAAAGTCTTCAAATTGTAATACAATTTCTTTTGATTAATTTTAGGTATATATTTCAATAGCAATTATATTATTTGAGAAGAGAGTGCGTATTTTGATTTATTATTATTTTGCACCAAATTTTATTTGCATAGACAACCCTATTGTAGTAAAATATGCATAACGAAATACTAATAAAAGGGCCAAGAATATTAAAAAAAATAGCTGAGAAAGAGCATAGAATTGAGCGGGAGAAAAACTAATGAAGACACCAGCAGAGAATAATAAAACAATGAGATTTCTATTTTCAATAAATTAGGAGTTTAAAATTAATTACTCTCACCTTTGAATTCGCATTGTCTAGGATTCGCTCAAAAGCTCGCACGGACAAAGAGAAACTATGCAGGAGATCAAAAGACGTTTATGAAGGCGACGACGCTTCCGACGACCGAGATGAGCCCGATAAATATTAAAACGGAAAGAAATGAAGTGAGAAAACGCAACAACAACTAATCGTAGAAAACCTCCCGCTTGTTCGGGTAAGCACTACATAAGTACTTATACCATTGTTCCAAAAGAAAGTACCAGTACCTACTCGCCAATACACTAGCCACGCGTTTGAGTGACGAATTTAACATGGGGATGTCATTGGAGGTATGTAATCGTCACCCTCTCGTTTACCTTCCATTAACGAAAACAGTAATGACAAGTTCAGTGACTATTCGTTTATCATTAATAATGAACTACTTCGTTAACAATGAATAATAAGTTATCGTTAACGATGAGTAATGATCTACTTCGTTAATGATTAATAATAAGCGAATTCTGCATACGCAGTACTGTGCAGAAGATCCCTATGAAATCAAAATCCACATATTTAATTCAAAAAATACAAAATTATTTATTTAAAACAAAAACAAAATACGTCAAATAATGAAAATAAACGTCTGAAATTTATTTGTCTGGCTTATTTTTGATCAGCATGTCTTTGCACCGACATATTTTTAAAAATTCTCCTTTTCTGCAATTGAATTGCCTTCCGAATTTGGTCATCCGCTGGACCAATATTATTTGTTTTGGCCATTGAGACCGCTTCTGAAAATGAAAAAAATATAAATGTATTATTTATATCGGGTTTTAAGACTATAATTATGCTTACCTAACAGAACACCATAAAGTTTTTAAGTTGTTTAAAACTTTTCTTCCCTTGAACACCGTCGACATTGTAGGCCATGGTAACATTGTCGTTTAGGATGCATTTTAAGTTTTTGTGAACCCCGGCTGGTTCTAGCATTGATTTCATTGCTTTTATCTAAAGATAAACTTGATATACAGCTATTCATATTTATAATAAAAATGATGAAATATCTTACATATTGATTTCTATTTTCAGCATTTATTTCCTTGTCAATTTCAATTAATTGTTCTTCAGATTTTATTGGAAACTTCTGTATTACCGGAATTTCTTCGTATGTTTGCTTTTTACAAACCAATTTATATTTTATTACTTCACTGGTGGGAGCACACACAATTTATGACTAAACACTTGGATTGTTGATCAAAGAGTAAATGAAATTTGTCAACCACCAAGCTTTTTTTGCATCACACACATTCCAGAAAATAACGGAATCGAACAAAGAGAAACAAAAGAATATGTGAACTTACTTAAGTATCCCATGGTAAGGCGCAGTTGATACAATCGACGAACCGTTCATTTACTTTGGGATACTGAAATAAGTACATACCCTTAAATCAAAATCATTAATGGTGTATGCTATGAATAGTATCAATAGTATCATTCGTATTATACTAGTGGATACATAAGTAAGTACTGTAGGAAGTAATCGACGAAATTACTATAGAAAACCCGTCAATTGATGTTTTGTCGAACTAGCAGGCTATTGTTTAACACTACACACATACACTCTCACATAATGAATTGCACAAAAATTTCAAGCAACAAAGGATGATGCAACACCGGTAGTGACGTCATCAGCAAAAATACAGACAATTTTAAGAATAGAAACAATGCAATTACAACACAAATAACAATTGATGCACTACCACTTTTAATCAAAAGTCCCCGAGTAAACGTATATAACACGACCGAGAAATACTTCAAATTTTAACAAATCCCGATATTGTTAAATCCGCGATTCCCGACTATACCGACATTTTTGCAACCGATTGCAACGAAAGAGAAATTTAACTGATTTGAGAACATTATTAGAGTTGCCAAGGTCAGTGTAATTAGACAAAATATCTGGAAAGTAAGAAAAGGAGTTGCCGAGTAATGTTTTGATGGTCATCATTAATGTACTATTAAAAATTAAACCTGTCGACCGATTTCACACCAAAATATTAAAATTTTTCGGATAAGATTAAATGTTGGGTATTGCTGAAATAATATAAAATAAATGCAAAGTTTAAAGTTGTTTCAGAAGGAAGTTAGATTTTCTTGACATTCTTCAAAGAAAATGATGTAAATATTTTGTAAAGACTTTTGTCCAGAGCTCGTTACTTTCTGTCCCCGGCAGTGATCAGTTTATTTTTCCTTTGGATATAAATTCGGATGCGTACGTATAGAAGTAAAATTTAAGGTAGCTTTTCTTATGTGTGATAGTGTAGTGTTATTTTGTGTTTTGGAGATGGTGATGATTAAAGGTCAGCAATATTAGGTGCTGGTTTGTTTTGATTATTGATTAATTATGTATTATCCCCTAAAGTACTTTTTAATCGAACATGCTTCCCTTTCGGGCCATAGATAAACCGACTTTAAATTCATAAAAAAATTAAAGCGTGTATTTAGCAAATAGTTTAGTTTAGAAAGATTATCATTAAAATAAAAATTTTTGTTCGGAAGTATTTAACAATATTTATATCGATGACATGAGAGTGAGATAGTACAGCATATAAAAAACGAAAATTTAGAAATAAAGTTTAGAATTTAACAATTAAATTAAGATTTATATCTAACAGATATGAAATGAAATATATGACGAATTGGACTTACCCAAATACCCCATACGGTATTTTTACCGTTCATTTGAATTTTGTGATGAACGAAAATATGGTGGTTACAACGTTAATTTAAACAGATTAGGCGACGAAATGATTTTCTTGAATACATATAGCAGCGGGTATCTTGAGGGTCTTCTTGCTTTAGTTTTTATTTAAATCTTCTGATACGTTAATTGAATTATTTGATCAATCCTTCTTATAGCATTCACAATTAAAAAAATAACGCAATTTCAATTCATCACAAAATTCCGGGGATGGTAATTTTCTTATAAATCCAGCTGGTAGCTTGTCTTTAATTAAAGATATAGATTTTCTTAAGGATTTTATTCCTCAAAAAATATATACATATATTCTTTTTTTCAAAATTATGTATAGTTTTCTCTTTTTATTGCCTATCTCCAATATCTAAATTTTCTTTCTATCTATTTGCCAAAATGACAAAATTGTCTTTTTTGTTGAGCCTAATACTAGTTTTAAGTTCCCTCAATACTTGTCTTACAGTGCTAGTAAAAATATATGAGTTTTGGCAAAGTCAAAGTAGTATAAAGATGGGACAAGTCGGACAAGTACCAATGTTTAGTTATTGAAATCAATAGGGTAATATGCAATTAATTGGGAAGGTCTCTGGAGTAGTATTTGAAACTTAATTTTTGAATTATTCAAACTTTTATTTGTCATTATTTACTATAATTGCTTTTTTATATAAACATGCCTGTGAGCTTTTTCACTCTAGATATTGCATATGTACACAAACCATTTTCTCAGAATGCATTTTGTCTAGTATTTACCAATTTATGTCTTTAGTTTTGGCTTGGCCTTGGTCCGAAGTAAGAATGCTTCCACTTTTTGATTTCGTCTCAATACTCCTGTTTCTTCTGATGTTGTTCATTTCACTTTTATACATTTATTTATTGGGGATATTATAAGTTTGATTGAGATAAACATTTATAACACCTCACAAATATTGCTCCAACTCGTCGAGCTGAGTTGGTCTTGCTACGTGTATAGTCCGATCCTTTTGAAATTTAGCCTGGAGTTAGAATAAAGAATAATAGGAATTATAATAGAAGCCTATTGTAGGGGGAGGTGATCGCAAAATATTAAGGGGATGAAATAGCTAATTTTGCACCCGCTCTATGAGTCTTAACTGTAGTGCGTTCGAAGCACAATTTTACGCTGGATTATACGTTAGAACATTGTATTTTTTCAGTATGCAGGTTAAGTTCGTAAGTGGGCCATGTAGGTCCACGTTTTCATATAGACCCGTTTTAACGGTACTTCCCAATATTCGGTATTTAGATGATTTTAGCGATATGTTTACCGGAATTATTTCAAATGTTGTATTTTAAGTTGGTAATAGGTACTACATCTTTTAACTAAAAATCGAGTATGCAAATGCACGTTTTCGTATAAACCCTATATAACGATTCCTCCCGATATTCGGTATTTTGGTGATTATAGCGACATTATTCACCAGAATTGCTTATTCACCAGAATTGCTTTCGTAGTTGACTCTGAAATTCCGACAAAAAACACGAAAATGTGCATGTTATCGCATTATGTCATTTACTGCCCTTATAACTAACGGCTGTACTGATTTTGAGAATTCGCCTTCATTTGGAATAATCGGCTGGTTCACAATAATATTATAGTTGTAACTTCGATCTTAAATTGCCCACATAGCTTTATCTTTCTTATATCAGTATGTGGAATTCATTTTTGTATGGCAAATTCTCTCTGACAAGAAAATAGAATGCTAGATTGTAATCCATTCTGCCGGATATCGAGACAAAGGTAAGTGAAGTCCGAATATCAAGACTTGCTGAGCAATAACCAAAAAAACCGATTGTAGTTCAAAGAAAAAAAGTAATGTTTTCCCAAAGAAAAAAGCTACAAAATTACAGCTTATATGAGAAATATTTGTAGTTCATAAAAAATATGCATTAAACAGTAAAACAATGGGCCGGTTTTACTAGTATATTAAAAACAATTTTAAAAGGATTTCTTTCATTGTAAAGTATCATAAAATGGGCGTTTAATTTGCTAAATTTAAATTTTTGTGTATATTATTTAAATCTGCATTGATTTAAAGCCGTTTCTTGAGTTTCTTCTATTCAGAATTTATTTACTTGTATGCACCTCATTAATATAGATTGGGTATAAATAATGTTTATATTTGATTATCCCTTATTTGGAGCAATCACATTGATCTTGGCAACCCTTCCAATGTTCTCAATTTAGTTAATTCGTACTTTTATTGCAATAAGTTGCATTTTCTGTCGGGAGTGTCGCGAGTCGGGTTTTCAGTAATTAAAACATAATTATTTAATGTTAAAATATGAGATAATTGTTTCGGGTAGTTTAAGTCAGTGCTGTGAATTAAAATTTGTTAATAAAAGTGTTTAAAAAGGTCTTAAAATTAACTTTTAGTTTCTCCGCAAAATGTGTATCTATTGCTGTGCTCTTCTTTGTTGAGTTTGTGTGTTTAGTCGCCGCCGACGTCAGCAGCAGCAACGTGTGTGTGCGTCAACATAGCCTTTGCTAAGTCAAGTTTCTTATATTTCCTTTTAAAATAAAAGAGTGTGTTTGTGTTGCGTTTTTATTTATTTCAATTGCTAAATTATATCATTGTGTTATTATAAAAGAATGTGTTAAAAATTTAATGAAATTTCTGAATTTCAATTGTCGTTGATTTATGTTTTTCGCTGCCTTCGGTTTATGCGCCTCGTTCGTTACTCGGTTGGTGGTACATACGCGTCGTCGTTGTCGTTCGATCTGTGACCGCGACGGCATTCTCTCCTATTCTCGCGAGCTTTTGAGAGGAGACAAATTAATACAAGGAATATTGAAGGTGAGTCGTTTTTATGAGAGGTTTCTAATATTTGTTAGGTGTTCTTATGACAGGGATGACAATGTGGAATATATGAAATCTCCTATTAAACCAAAATTATATTCTTAACAATATATTTATAAAGAAACTTTTCGTAACTCTTATGCGTATATTTTGGGGCTTGACAAATTCAATTTTTGTCTATTAAAATTAATCTCTCAATTGTTTTTACAACATTGTGCGTTGAGGTTTACATATCTATATCGATAGTTAAAACCTACACAGGTGTGCAAAAAACTTATTTTATTACCCGAATTGCGACACTTGTTAATACTTAATTGTTTAAAGTTTAAATACAAGTTAATTGTCTTTACGCAGGTGCTTATAAAGGTCATAACATTAATTAAAACTTGCATTGCAAATCGAGTATATAGTGTTGTGCTCTTCTTTGTTGAGTTCGTGTGTTTAGTTGCTGCCGATGTCATTGCAGACGTGTGCGTCAACTTATCCATAGCCTCTTCAATGATTTTCGTTGTCCTTGGGTTTTTATATAATTTTAGTTGTTGTTATAAAAGAATCTGTTAAAATTAAATCAATTTTCATAATTTCAATTTGCTTCAAATATTTCGCTGCCTTCGGTTTATGCATGTCGTTCGTTATTCGGTTGCGTCGCCGTCGCTCTCGTTCGATCTCTGCCCAACTGCATGCTCTTCTGTTCTCACGAGCTTCTGAGAGGATGGAAAATAGTATAAGAGAAGGTGATGAGACATGAGTTAATTTTTGTAAAAGTTTTCTAATATTTTTTTTTTGGTGTTCTTAATGCAGGGATGGAAATATGAAATTTATGAAATTTCGTATTAGAACAAAAATGTATTTTAAGTTCCATTAATGGCAAATCTTTATGCAAATGTTTATATAACTTATTTTAATACCCTCTACCTTGGAAAGGAGCATATATAATCATGATCAACATAAAATTCTAATTCGATTGTCTGTTATAATTACGATAAAGTCCACATTATTTAACCCAGAGGTTTAAAATTAGCAACAAAGTTTTATATTCTATGTAGGCTGATTGCTATTGAAAATGAGCTATATTGGTACACGTTCAGGTATAACCCCCATATAACGGTACCTCCTGATTTTCGAAATTTCCAATCAAATCATCCGAAAAGTTACATTTGAGGTTCTTGGTAGGTTTGTTTTCTCCTGCAGAAAATATTTGCTACAGGTTCATTGATAACCGTACCTTCCGATATTTGGTATTTTGAAGGTTTCTGCCACAATTTCCAATTAAATTGGATGAAACTTCTCATATGGAACTTTCGGTAGGTCTGTTCTCTCCTTGCAAAAAATGTTCAATTCAGGAGCACTATGTGGTATAGGCCCCATATAACGGTACCTCCCGATTTTCGGTATTTTTTATTGTCTTTGCTATATTTTTCCACGAATTTGCTTAAAAATTGTTCGTAATGGGCACCAGTTCCGGTGGCCGAACATTATATATTAAGGTTTACGTTTTCGTATAGACCCCATATAACGGTCACTCCTTTGCAGAACATTGAATATCTAGTTCCACGTTTTTCTATAGCACACACATTTTGATAATCCCTTCGAATACCCTTCGATAGTTGTCATGCGCACCAGTCAGACAGACGGACGGACGGACTGCTCTAAATCAACTACAAATATGCTCTGTTGCACCCTCTGTAACTGATGGTATAAACATGGAATTTTTTCTATCATAGAAAGTAATAAAGAACAGCAACTTTTTAGTTTATACTCTAGTCTTTACAGAATGGCGCTGTAGGCGCCTATATCTTCCAACAAGCCAGAGAAAATAGCCTTCATCATTAGAATCTTATTAGTTTTTTCTCTTTATCTATTTTATGAAAACATTAATATTCTTATACACTTCTAAAAAAATCGGTTCCTCAGGTCTGGAGAGGAATGTTTGTAATTAACAGGCAGGGCTATTAGATTGTCTTCTTTAGGATATGTTCAAAACGGACTACACCATCCCAAGAGTTTGAAATTTTGACGCTTTATCTACATAGCGAAGGTCGGGGCGTGAGATTTTCTCTTTCAGGGTATATCCAACACCGAATACGAAATCTTATTTCTTCCTAAATTTTTTGTCTCAATTTCATACTTTTTCTATGTATCCGGCCTTTGTGTGGGTGTTTTGCTAAATTAGTTGTATAGGTATTTCAATTAGCATTTTAGAAAATTACGGTGTCTAACCAGGCTTCAGTTCAGGATAACAGAGACAAATGTCTACATGAGTAATATTCAAAAAAGCTGTAAAGTTCGGCCGGGACGAACTTTGAATACCCTCCACCATTTGAAACGAATTTGGCAATTTTCAAAAAAAAAAAAAAAAAATACAGTCCTTTAAGACTTCTGTTAAAATCTTAAAAATGCAGAATATAGCCGTTATTTTAGGGTTGTACGACGACGTGAACCTGCATAGGCAACTTTTGTCATAAGTCTTTACAATATTCAAATGCTAAAATAAATAATGTCGCAAAAATCATCAAAATATCGAATATCTAGAGGTAGCATTATATGGGGGCTATACGAAGACGTGGACCTGCACAGACAATTTTCTGTCATAGGCTGTAGTATCCACTACGAACATCAAATACTAAATTTGAAAGAATTCCGGTAAATAATGTCGCTAAAATCAACAAAATACCGAAACCGTACCAAAACGTGGACCTACATGAGCCATTTTCAATACCAAAAGTTCTGCAGACATAACATACATTTGAAAAAATAAAATTATCAACCCACTTCATTTCGTTCGGAAGCTGATCAAGAATATATATACTTTGTGGGGTCTCAAATATATATTTCGAGGTGTTACAAACGGAATGGAAAACTTAATATACGCTTCATACTATGGTGGACGGTATAAAAAGTCCACGACATCAGCCAATATTAAAATGTTTTCATAAATACATAATTATGAATTCAAAATTGTGTCTTATAGTCAACCGCATCATTATCTCTTTCTTCTGAATCGTACAATTTCGAAACACGCAAACATCTTATTCCAAACTAACTTTATTCAAAAATACTGAGAAAATCCCGAAGAGGTAATGTCGCACATTACAAATGTAGATTTCAACCTGCTGATATCTTCGGTCGGCATCAGTACAGAGAACGCTGGCCCTTATAATTGTTTTCTCAAAACAATGGACGCTTTTCATTTAGTTAAAAAGAAATAATTGTTTCCCACGAAATCCATCAAACAGTCAACACAAAAATTGACATTTGAGAAAAGAACATCAAATTATCCAGCATCACCACCGAATATCAGCAGATCATCAACAACGAATGTAAAATGTTTTTAAATGCACTTCAGATGCACGCACCAACCTTCATAAGGGTGGTGATGCCGGTCGACCTTTCATTTTCCCTGGAACAATGTCGAGAATGACCAAAAACCAAAATCACCAGAAATCACCCTGATCATTTACGTATTTACGATGTACATGACAGGGTAGTAGATCACCAGTGAGTGTCCTTCTTCTCAACATCATCATCATCATCGTAAAAATAATTATGGCGGCAGCGAACACCATGCATAGCCACCACTGCGTGGTCAAGCATATTAACGAGCGTGTCCATAATGAACACTTTGTCCGCAATAATGGAACATAGCCTTGATGAAATGTAGGACATGCTGACTTTGATGACTTTTTGATGGTCGGAATTCAAACATCCACCCATTGACCTTTTGAGAAGAGAGAAATTCGGAAAATTGCGGGCGATAACTTCATTTAAATCTTTCCCGGGTGAATGTGAAAAGACAATTGACACCAAAAGTGCATATTTCTATGGAAAATCATCAGGGCCTTGCCAACCGACAGACTGTCTGATTGTCTAGCTATTTTTCCATTAATGTAAAACAAAAACAACTGTAATTTAGGATTCCAAATGTCTGTTGGATGAGAAGCAGAAACCTTAATCCGTTAACGCCTTTTTTGCCTTGTTTTAAGAATTCAAACTCACACACATATACACTCAGTCAGACGATCATCTACCATTCAAATCATTGAAAGGTACCTGCTTTGCAATCCAATCAGCCAGCCTTGCCATGGCTGTCCCTTACCCATACACCACCCTGATGATGGCATAGACAATTCTAATGGTTACATTTAGATGACGGCGATACCATCAAAATGATTTCTTGCTTTCTATTTTCATCGCCTTTGTTCCCGTTGTTGTTGTTGTTGTTGCTGTCATGGTTATCATAGGAAAATACAAATTAAATTGATTTGAAAGAAATAGAAAATTATGTAAAAGTTAAAGAGACCCTTTTTTCAAATTCTTCTTTTTTCGGTTTTTGGATTAACTGGATTTTCCTTAGAAATGCTGGACACATTATCCGTTTGATTTTGTAATTCTTTTAGATAATAAGATACGATAAACCTTTAAAATATGAAAACGTTTTTTTTTTGTTTTGTTTCTGAAGAGAGAACATGTTACACTCGTATAGGAAATTTTGTTGTTAACATTTGTATGAAGAAAAGGGATTGAAGATATACATTTTATATCCTCTACCATACATAGTATGAATTAAGTTCATCATTCCGTTTGTAACTCATCGAAATAATGATTTTAGACCAAACAAAGTATATACATTATTGATCAGCTTAAAATACTAAGAGGTTTTAGCCCTGTCCGTCCCTCTGTCCGTCTATCCGTCTCTTTTAATCACGCTTCAGACATTAATATAGGAAGGTAAAATTTTGCACAGATCATACTTCTTCTGACTATATTCATAGAATCACTTTCTAAGTCAATGTAGTTTTGTTCGAATTGGGCACCTTTGGCATGAATTATGGCCTTCAAACGTCAAATGTTGCCCGAATGTTGATTAATTCGGAGGAAACCTTCGTCCACCGTGCCTCTCTATTAATAAAAAAAAAAAAACATTACCATCGTTCTCCACTAATTAATAAACGTTGTTTTTATAAAAACAACAATAAAGGGATTAAGCCTGACCATTTTGCAACAACAAAATAAGTTTTTTTTTCTGGAAAATTTCCACAAAAATGCTTTTGTACGCTTGTAAACTGTCACTGGAATAATCTGAAGTTGGTTGCAGTTTTTTCATCTCACCCTGCGATATCGTGTATATCAGCATCAATGTAACGGTGAGAAGTGACCTTTCCGTACGTGGGTATGTTGGAATTAAAAATATTTGCGGTTTAATGCAAATTTTCGTATTTTTTCACCTGAAAGCTATGGACTATTTTAACCGCTAACTATTAATCGATTACCATCCAAATTCAACCCCCTAATATTTTGCGATTTTCTTTCCAAAAACAATGACTTTCTATTACCTCACCTTCATACACAATTCCTTAAAGATCGGACCATAATGGAAACCTGTAGCATGATTAAAAATTAACATGGACAGACGGCGGATAGCTAAATGGACTCAGCTCGACGATATAGGAAGATCGATACACACTTTTTGGCCCAATCAAACTTATAGTACGACCAACACAGGGCATCAAAAATTTTTATTAAAAGTCCAAGATTTCAAAGACCGAGTGTCGCTATACACCACATAGTGACCCTTATTATGTCATTGTGCATTTGTTTGTAACATGGAGAAGGAAGCGAGAAAGGCCCATAGTTATTTTTGAGGATCTTCATAGAATCCCTTTTTTGAATCGATTTATGCAGGTCAGTCCGTCTGTCCATTTTT